CCTGCTCAACCTTCCCCCATTACCAGTCTTATTACTGGCTTAGCAAGGTAAGTGGGTGCGTCGGCCGGAAATCGGACCCCAGACCGTATGCGTGGTCGGAGAGCATCCTACCGCTGTGCCCCCGACGCCATATTAATGAGCATCAGATTACTTCTGAAATGTGTTTGTTAGTAGGGATTGGAAGCATTTTAGGTTTGCCCACGGATTGATTTCAGATATTTGGTGGGGACTTCACTCATAGGTTTTAAGCAACTAGGTTTTCGGTAGAAAGGAAAGTAATAACTCGCCTACTTCAGCAGTTTGGACAACCCAGATATCAAGATATAGCTCCTAGACTAGTACATACACACACACAACAATCACTTTGTAGGTATAAACCATCTGACTGAAGTTACACCTTGATTACACATCCGCATTTGACTCTGTACCTAGGTCTCTCTTGCTAAGTAAGCTTACTGCAACACAGACTGAGAGCTGGACAAATAAGTGGTTGCATTCCTATTTTTCTGATAGGAAGCAGTACACCGTCTACAATGGAAAGTCCTCCACTACCTCACTTACTTTAGCTGGTGTTCCTCAAGGTGCTGTTCTTTCTCCTTTCCTGTTTTCTTTTTTCTTACATGACTTGCCCCATTCTGATGTAGCCACTTTTGTTAAGTATGCTGATGACCTCTCTGTCTCTATACCTGTCAACTCTCAGGCAGATTGTTCCAAATTAAATAACTTTCTGTCGGAAATTAGTCAGTGGTCCTCTTCAAACGGTCTTAAGCTGAATCCGTCTAAATGTCAGGTAGTAAATTTCACTTTCAGACGAAAACGTGACCTACAACAACTAGCTAGCTCACATGGTCCCACTATCATTGACGGCATAGAGGTTGAAATTACATTTAATGTCAAGTAACTTGGACTAAGTATTTCCACCGATCTTTCCTGGTCCTCTCACATTTTGCTAGTTAATAGAAAGATGTTTCGCTTAACATTCTACGTTATGAAATTAAGGCAATCTGGTATAAAGCAGTCTTTGCTTTCTCAGTTTGTCAATTCTTGCATTCTACCCATCCCTCTTTACTGCTCCCCATTTATCTTTCCTGGACTACTTAAGAAAGGCCTTGCTTTGCTGAGAAGGGCAATAAAAGCTGTTAGTAGGGGAAGTGGGATATCGTTAAACTAACTGGTTAACACTATTGTGGATAGACATATAATGTCGTGTAAGAAACTAGCGAATACTATATTGTCAGACTCTGAGCATCTTCTCTATACGCAGCTCTCTCCTTGCATTTCATCTGGTAGAACTAGAAGTAGCTATAGGAGGCTATATGCTAAGACTACCAAGTACAAAACTCCACAATACCTTATCTGGCACAGCTGTTATGTGATGAGAAATCCGTTAGGTATGACACGATCAACTTACTGCGGCACTCTAACAAATAGTTTCCCATTAGTTTTTGTTTTCCTTTCTGTATTACTATTATATTATTTTTCTAAAGTTTGGTTTGTAAGGATTAGTTATGTTTTACGAGTTGATCACGGACTGATATCAGTTAGAGAACCATTGAAAACCAGGGAGTACTGGACAGCTGCTGTTTCATCCTAGTTTGGGAATCATTATTGTTATATATATTATTGTTCACATCTTCTATTACACACTAATTTTATATTTCATATTCCTGTGGTGCATTGTTTAAATACGTAAACGTAACGCTATTCTTTTTTTATTTCTTTTTATTTATCTATTTTTTTGTTGTTGTTGCTTTTTGTTTTTTAAAATCTTATAAAATTTATGAGGTAATTCGATGCAATATTGTAATGCACGCTGAAAATTCCATACCTATACCACAAATACTGTTTGGAATAAAGCTGCCATTATGATTATTATTAATTTCATTAATTAATTAATTAAATTATTAATTAATTATTAAAAACTGTCGATGCGAGATCATTGAATCTGAACTATAAATATTTACCTGACGAATGGTTTAGCAGCCTCTTTGAAAAGAAATCTTGCTGTCCTTTCAGATGAATGACACATACACCGGTCAGCTTTTGACATTAAATATGCTAATAATCCTATTCCATTAAGTTTTAACAGAGGATACGATGATACTGATGATGATGACGATGCATTTGACTGCTCGGCGTTGAGCATGCATAATTCACCAACAAACCTATGAAGAGAAAAAATATTGAAAAATGTGCATATGAATATCCCGTGTTGACTTTGTTAGGACACTTCATTTTATTTTTAATAATAATAATAATTTACTTTATTCCAAAAACAGTAGTTATAATACAGAATGGAATTCTCAACATTTGTCACAATATTGCATCTGATTTACTCAAAATATAAATGAAATTAAAAATTAAAACAAAATTAACCAGAGAAATTTTTCCGCATTTGTGTTATAAAGTCAAAAATATTCGAAGTACGAATTGAGAATATTCAATATAATAATAATAACAGTGAGTTTGTTTCAAACGGTATTGTCGATTCAGTTTGAAAATTTTAGCATGTTATAGATTATTAGGTCTAATGTTCTGTTGATATAGAATAGTGAGGGGAAATACAAAATTAACAGTTATAACACAGCTTAAATGATGCTCACACTTATGAAAAAATTAACAAATAAAAACAAAAATTTGACAGGATTAAAAATATAAGAAATACAATAACAATAAAGAATGACGCTTTAAGGGTAAAGGAAATGGTTTATTTAGTAGTGCAAAGAAGGTTAGTTAGTTCATGCCTAACACTATTTTCATCTTTTGATTTGACACTAGTTACTACTGTGATGCGTCTAGTCCTCTCTTTGGTGCAGACTGAATTCTATCAGTCAGGTTGTAATGTGGCCACCATTCTAGGTAGCTCGCCATCACGGTGTACATTGTTTGTGATGATATTAGATGGTTGGAGGCAGTCGGAAGGAAGCCTTGCACCTAGGTTTCCTGCTAGTTGGCACTCGTCAGCAAGGCGTATCTGCAGCCTTGAAGGAACTCATGTCCCTTCTGAGATTCGAACCCGCGTCACCCAGTGCTGCAGTCACAGACGTTACCACTGAGCTATTCGGGCTCGCGATTGACCTCCTGTAGGACTGTGGTGGATATTTTGATTCGGGCTCGAATAGCTCAGTGGTAACGTCTGTGACTGCAGCACTGGGTGACGCGGGTTCGAATCTCAGAAGGGACATGAGTTCCTTCAAGGCTGCAGATACGCCTTGCTGATGAGTGCCAACTAGCAGGAAACCTAGGTGCAAGGCTTCCTTCCGATTGCCTCCAACCATCTAATATCATCACTATTTTCATCACATAAACTACGTACCGTCAAATATGGTATAGTGGAATTTTTATACTTAGACGTACGTGCATAAAGTCTTCTAAAAAGACTTCTTGTTTTACCCGAGGAGACAGAAGGTTGGAGCTGCGGGTAGAGTGGGTGCTCAGATTCTGAGAAAATTCCTTTAGCGAATTTGTTGCATGAAATCAAGTGTCCATCATCAATGACGATGTCAACGATATGGCCCAATGGGATACCACTTGGCCTACTGACAATCTTCAGAGTTCTACGAATTATGACATAGTCTTTTTTAAGCAATCCAGGAAAGAATAAGGGTGAACAGTAAAGAAGTATAGGTAAAATACACGAGTTGATAAACTGTAAGAGGAGTGGTTGAGTTATGCCTGAATGCCTTAACTTCTTAATGTAAAAAGTCAAACGAAATATTCTTTTAGAAATCGCTAAGACATGAGAGGACCAGGATATGTCAGAAGAGAGAATTAAACCAAGATACTTAACTTCAGACTTTGCTTTCTATATCAGTATCATCGATTTTGCAAGGGTCGAAATTCACCATCTGCAAATCAGTTGGCAATTTACACATTTCGAGGTAGGAAATTTCACTCGAGTGTCCTTTGGAAACCTGGATTATTCACAACACACACAGTAAGTGATGCGCTTGATACCATAAGTGGTCGGCTACACAGCAAGCACAATTGCATAAAGCCATATACTACCAATTCACTAAGATGACTAGTTGTATACCATTTACATTTTTGCCGGTAGTGTTTGTTAACACAGTTAGATCGAATGTGACCTAAACAAGGCACAGCCATTTTGCGCGTTTGAGGACTGAGCTCATCAGCGGAGTAACCGGTCTCAAACGATCAGTAGTCCAGTGAAGGTTGGAGGATATTGGCGATATGGTTCAAAATCGTTTCGGATAGCGTAGATGATCTCCCATATCCATGTAAACCATCATGTTTTTCCATGTTATTATTCCTTCTTTCTTTCTCCCCCGCGTTTCTGCGTATTATTGTCCTTTTGAATCCCTCTTTTTTCTCTCTTTTGTTTTCCATTACGTGCTACACGGAGGGAGTGCGGCAACTGGAACTGGTGCGTTGAAACTAGTCAGTCTGTCAGTCAATCAACATTATAGGTACGCATTTTATCCCTTTAAACTAAACATGAGTGCGTCGGTGGCACAACGGTTAGGATGCTCGCCGACCATGCACATGGTCTGGGGTTCGATTCCCAGCCGATGGACTCCTTTATCTCGCTAAGTCAGAAATAAAGCTGGTAAAGAGGAAAGGTTGGGCATGAGGCTAGCTACCCCATCCTGTAAAAATAAACACTGCTAGCGAAACTTCAAGCCACTAGCTTGAGACCCTATGTTCCACTGGGAATGTGAAGGAATAAAAAAACTAAACATGAGCATCATGTAAGAGTGCTGAGACCGCCAAAAGAAGGCTCGGCATCTACGTGTTATCAACGTAATCAGGAATTTTCGATTAGTATACTATATGAATGTATTCTGTACTACTAAAATTTAATTATGTACCAAAACTGCCTGATTGACTGGTTTCAACGTGGAACTTTGCACAGATGTGCAGCAGTTCGAGTCGCCACACTCCATATAGTACATAAAGCAAGAGAAGTAAAAAGAAATGCAAAATAGAGACAGTAAACAGAGACATGAGGTAAAAGGAATAGTAATATGGAAGAATACAGTTTTATGGGGTATTATAAACCATAAAAAGTGAATGCATCTGCACCATTAGAAACAATTTTGAGCCATATCACCTTTTGTCTCCAACCTTCATTGGTTTTTACTATCTCGAGTACTCTAACCAGGAAATCTAAATCTCCCTACGTGGCTGGCTTAAACTAACTGTTGTGGATTTCATTGACTAATGAAGCCATGTTTTGGTTTGACCGCTACTGACTCTTTTCCAACCTGATCCTATGTCAGTCAGCTAACACTGCCCTTCGAGGAAGGCGATGGCTAGGCATGCACGCGTGACACGTGTCCTAACAATCTCAGTCGATGTAACTTCACAGTCTCGTCTGTTGATTTCCCCTGCTTAAGTAGCACTCGACGCCTAACCTCAATATTGCTCACCCTATTATACTACTTCACACGGGAAATAGAACACAAACACTTATGATCAGAGACAACTAGCCTTTTCATATCTTCCACTCCCAATGGCCATTTCTTACAGCCATAAAGCAGGACAGAGCGAACTCCTGAGCAGCATACACGCCCTTCGGTCGACAGCCGTATATCCCAAAACACTAAATCTAAGTTACTTAACACAACAAACAACCACTATTTCAAAATGCATTATAAATGTTATTTGATGCTTTTTACAAGGAACTTACTTTATCTGCTTAGAAAGACAGGATAAGCGGTTGGTAATCCAAAGGAGTCCATAGTCATTGCTGTCTGACAATTTTGACAGAATTGAATACAATGACTTCTCGTATACACCTAACCATGTTCTCAATCCTTGAATAAAGCATGCCCAAATTTTTCCCAACCAAATAGTATTATCATGAACAGATGTCGGAAAGAGTGAAACAACATGATAAGCAAAGCAACAGAGTTTTTTGTAGACCGTTCCAGCTTTAAGATGACTGTCGACAAAGTGTGATAGACATTGAGATGAAACGCCTATATTAAGTGAATCTTGATCATTTGGTATCCATGCAAAGTGACCAGTTAACGGATGAGAATAGTATGGCATCTGATCACTGATCTGATCAGTAGTACCTGGTATGAAATCAGAAAAATAATGAAATCTTTCCGATTGAGTACCCATTCTCAGAAATAAAAGATGACGAAGAAAGTCATTGTTGTATGCTGAAACTGATTTCAGCGTACTATTATTAGTGTTATTAACGTTTCCTGTAATACTTCCAATATTGCCAGCGAGGAAATCAGATCTGAACTTGCTAAATACCAATACAGCTTCAGCAGAAATCGGACCAACTTCACTCAAATACGGCAATTCTTTGTCTAAACATCCACTAAGAATAGAGAAGAACATGTACTTTATTATTATTATTATTTAAATGCAGAAAAACGTAGTACAGTATGGCACCAAGAAAATGCGCCACACAATAAATAATAAAACAACATAGATTTAAAGTAAAAATATAGGTGGAAAACGGATGAAGTACTTCATCTGGAAGGAAAACAGTCATAGTTAACAAGTTCAAACAGTATTCGTTAACTATCATCAGGAAGGAGAGAAAGAAGGAAATTGCAAGACGTTCGCCATTGATGACTGGCGATTCTTGGCCATATCCGATGACGTTTCGAGCCATCGATTCGAGCTATCTCTCGGACACCAACCAGGGAGACATGACGCACCAACCGATGCTAACCTAGCACAAATATCCTTCATCCCACGACGCTACGTCATGGACTGACCACCTCTCCACCTTTTCCATCCTGTCCCAGGGCTAGCGAACAGAGACCTGTACGGAAGCCTCTGGGATAACATTCGCAGCACATGTCCAAGCCACAGAAGCCGGTGTTTTCAGATGACAACACTCAACGAATGGTGATCTCCACTGTGTTTAAACACACGCCGCCGATGCCACACGCGATGATGCCATCGAACACAAGCAATCCTGTGGAGACAGCGATGATCGAATACGCAGAGTCGCCGCACATCCTCAGCTCGGAGAGGCCAGGTTTCACATACGTAGAGCAAGACACCCCGCACCGAAGCATTGTATACCCGACCTTTGACGGCCAGGCTAACGTCGCGACGGCACCAGAGGTGGCCCAAGTTGATGTATGCCGGCCCTGGCCTTCATGAAACTGATTAAGTGCGATTTGAGCAGCTTGCATGCTATCACACAGTAAGACGATATCATCTGCATACTTGAGGTTTAAAAGTCTATCTCAAGGGAGCAGATCTACACCACCTTCACGCACATCCTTCAGAGTTGACTCCAGAATGTCATCAATGACAAAATTAAACAGAAGTGGATGGAAATATCATGGAAGTACAAATAATCTCTTTTAAAACAAAAGAGCAAAGTGTAGAGGTTCATTAGTTATTTGGCAACGAAAGCAATGGACGATTCATTCACCAATGATCGCTAAGTACTATGCATTATTTATGCATTTCCGATAATGATACTATTTTGTCTTCAAGTGCGCTGACTTGCAGGGATTTGACTGGTTTCAAGATCGGTAACAAACTGACTTCAGTTAGAAAATCCATCGGGAACCACGGAGTACTAGATAGCTGTTTCGACCTCATTTGGGACTCTTCAAATCCCTACAAGCCAACACTTGGAAATCAGTCTAGTGTTGACTAGTGACCGAATATACAATGAAGTCGTGACCAGAGGATTCCACCAAGTTGGATGTGAGAAAAAAATACTCGCCAATGGCATTAGCTGAAGTAAGAAATGATGGGCCGAACCATCAGATTCCATCTAAATAACTGAAGATCCACAGGCTCGTATTGTCACCTGAAGACCTTGGGTTCGACCCCCACGATACTCGCCTAGAACTCTACGAACTCACTTCAAATTCAAGTATGTGCTGTCTAGTAAGACAATGACAGCTTCGCAACTAAACCATCTAGCTCAGAGAATACAACTACACCGAAATTATCCACCTGAGCTACAAATCTTCTCCATCATATCAAAAAAGGGAAAAACAGTTCTCCAGTACACCCTAGTTCTCAATGGTCTTCTAACTAAAGTCAGTTCGAGTGTATTGCATGGTAAAAGCAGCTAAGCGTGTGCTGTTTTCAAAAAAAATTAGCATATATATATTACTCAAAATGAGGATAACATGTTAACCACTTTTTGAGGTGGTAAAACTGAAGACAGATTTCAACGACAATCCACCATCTTCCCGTAGTCTTCTCCTTTTTTGTTTATTTACTTTATCAGCTGTAGAAATGTGAAATAATCCAATGGTCTCAGGTCCTACACTATTCTAATCATTTTAATGTAACCTCGCCAGTTATTTCACTTATCAAAGTCAGGGAAGCTGGATAAAATTACCAAACCGCCAGTTGTTCACACAATTTGTCGGTGTAGTTCATGCATAACTGCGTTTTCATGAGTTAAGAAGAAAAAATAACAATATTCTGACTGAATAACTGTTTTTTATGGATAAATTCAGACATGTAGTAGTAATAGTAGTCTGTTTCTCTGACCTCCTCGATTATCCCGATGCAAAAACAAAAAAGAAACGGCTCATCGATCTCAGTTTACAGACCACTGCAGAAATTACACTGCAAAGAACAGATACTACACATAATCCTACCTAGCTCAGAGAGCCGAGAAGCATCGAATGATATCGCACGCCAGGCATAACCTCGACTGGAACCCGAGTGAGAAGTGACGAGTGTGTCTTCAATGCGAGGGTGACATGGAAGAGATCGTGTGAGTTGAGGGAAGCGATGAGAGATTATGGACAACCGTAGGGCAAGTTGAAGCGGGCAACAGATAATCGAACAAAGTGGAGATGGAGTGTTGTTGAAGCCCTATGTTCCACTCGGAACCCAAGGGAACAATAACATCTTCATGCATTTATTCTCTTGTTTCTATGATTCGAATTGAACTCAGTACATTGTCACCTAATTTATTAGTCACTCAGCAACTTACGCATCTCTCGTCTTTATTACGTAACTCCTTTACCATTGTATGCATACATTTATTTTGTTTAAACTTGAACTTCCTGTGTAAATACTATATAAGCGCAATTTTCTGAGCACTGTTCACTTACTGTGGAACTTTCTGTCAACTGACATCATGAAATTTAGGCTGTAAGCAGCTGATGAGAAGCCAACGGAATAAATGATGGTAGCATATTATTCTGAACACACCACTATTGTTCTTGCTTTATTCAAATTCATTAAGGCGAATAAATGCTGTCTGTCTGTCTGTTTTCGACATCAGTGCAAAGTTCTGTGTCGAAAACAGACAGACAGACAGCATTTATTCGCCTTAATGAATTTGAATAAAGCAAGAACAATAGTGGTGTGTTCAGAATAATATGGCACCATCAATTATTCCGTTGGCTTCTCATCAGCTGCTTACAACCTAAATTTCATGATGTCAGTTGACAGAAAGTTCCACAGTAAGTGAACAGTGCTCAGAAAATTGCGCTTATATAGTATTTACACAGGAAGTTCAAGTTTAAACAAAATAAATGTATGCATACAATGGTAAAGGAGTTACGTAATAAAGACGAGAGATGCGTAAGATGCTGAGTGACTAATAAATTAGGTGACAATGTACTGAGTTCAATTCGAATCACAGAAACAAGAGACAAACAAAATCACACTACGTTTAAGGGGTGAGGTTAAAGCCAAAGATTACGTAATCAAACGAAGGAAAGACATCCAGTTACCAGGGCAACAACAATAATAATAAGTGTTACACAGATTATCGACAAGTCTGCTGTTGAATTGCTTCTATTTTATCACATGCACATGCTATAATTCATCAGAAATCATATTATATTGCCTACCTAGCAAATACAGAACTATATAAAAAAAGTTCAAGTGCTGAATTAACTGCACACACACACACAGAGATAAACAGCACAAAGTAAAAAGTGATGACTTACACGCCTCTGTTTTCCCAAGAGAAACGTTGAACATTATTTGAAGATATTAATGGTAAAATAGTTTTAAGATCTTTATTAGCCAGTAAAGTGTTGTCTCTTGAAATCTCTTTAGAGCAATGTTCAAATGATGGATAGAATATTTCCTTGACTAATAATTGACCGATAGCCGGAGAAAATTGTGAAAAAAGCCGATATACAATATCTTTAATATTTTCACTATTTAATAGTGGTCGATTATCTGCTTTAGAAAATGTCTCACTATAGCCTTCATCTTCTTCGTCCAGTATTCTAGACTAGATAGATAGATAGATCGGTAAGGAAAATTAACAACTTACCAAAGGATGAGTGTAGTCTCCAAATTCGCTGAAAATTTTAAAAAAAAAAAAAAAAATCAACAGTAAGATTATAAGAGAATTCAGTAAGTTGGTTTTATTTACATAAAAATGAAACTCAAGTTTTTTGAAAATCAACTCTAACACAGATCAAATACTCAATTACAACAACAACAATCCAATAACACACAAAAAGAGTTGTATACAAACACTATTCAAGAGTGCCACCCAGGACCCATTGCAGCACTCCCACCTTAAGGAAAATTGAAGAAAGATATCTCATGGACGTCTTCCAGAAGAATAGATATCCACGGAATTTCAACAAAAGACATACACCCCTAAGCCAACTTACTAAATCGAACGCCC